CTGTCTCTAAATCAAATATGAAATAGGGCTGGGGATGTGGCTCAGTGGTCAAGTGCCCCCAAGTCCAATCCCCAGTACAAAAAAAAAAAAAAAAAAAAGAATTAAAAGAAACAAAAAAATTTGTCATTATTCATAGATAATGATTATCTTTAGAGAGAATCAAAAGACTATGTAGGCTAATTATTGGAATTAACAAGAAAATTTAATAAGGTGGTTGAACATTAAGTAAATATACAAAGATTATATTTCTGCACTCCATCAATGATCATGGAGGGACTGGGAATGTAACTTGGTGGTAGAGCATTTGYCTATCATATGGGAAGCCCTGGGTTCAATCCCCAATACCTCAAAAAGGAAAAAAAAAATTAGAAAATAGAGAAAGGCAGTRTTTAATAGCTTTAAAAATACATACCAAGAAATATATATAGCAAAAGGTATACAATACTGTATAAAGAAAATTAAAAAACATTATTGAGAAATCATTAAATATGAGCAAAAAARGGGTCAAATATGCCATATTCATAAACAGGAATGCTCAATGGCAAAATKATATTACTTGCTACAAATTAATCTATTTACACTTTGCAATTCCATTGAAACTCTTATCAAAAATTTTCAGTTTGACAAGCTGCTTCTAAAAGTTATATGACAGGGCTATGGGTACGGGTATAGCTAAGTGGTAGTGAAGTAYTTGTCTAGCATGCTTGAGGGCCCTAGATTTGATCCCCAGCACTCTGTATCCACCTCTCACACACAAAAAGCTATGAAAGATCAAAGGCCCACAGACATCCATTCTTATGAATGTGGAAGAACAGGAGTGGGTATACATCTCTCATAAAACGAAGATTTTTWAAAAAAATTATAAAGCACAGCAATCAAGATAAATTGATATTAAATACAAAGAAACAGACCATAAAACATAGTAGAGAAGTGGAAAACAAATCACACATATATGTAGTAAATTTGATTTTTAACACTGGGCCATTCAATAAACAGGTGCCAGGATAATACAGATATATGAAAAAATAAACCCTCACTTAAAACATATGCCAAAATCAAGTCTTCAACAAATAAAGAGGTAAATGTATAAAGCAAAATTTGAAAACTTTCAGAAGGAAATATATTTTATGACGTAAGTATAGAGATTTCCCAAAGGAGAAAAGAACATAAACCACATAGGAAAATATTAATAAATTCATCTACAATTAAAATAACACAAAATCTTTTCTTCAGCCAGTGACACAAGAAAAAGTAGAAAACCAAGCTCCTTGACAGAAAAAGACATTTATAATGCWTATACTCAACGCAGGAGTAATGTATTAAGAATAAAAAAGCAGCTGGGTGCTGGGGTGCACGCCTATAATCCCAGCAGCTTGGGAGGCTGAGACAAAAGAATCACAAGTTCAAAGCCAGCCTCAGCAAAAGCAAGGTGCTAAGCAACTCAGTGAGACCCTGTCTACAAATAAAATGCAAAATAGGGCTGGGGATGTGGCTCAGTGGTTGAGTGCTTTTGGGTTCAATACCCCCCTCCCGCAAAAAAAAGAATAAAAAAGCAGCTTGTTCAAATCAATAAGATGAGGATAAATAACCCAACACAAAAATGAGTAAAAATATAAATAGGTCAGGCATGGTGGTGCATGCCTGTCATCCCAGCAACTTGGGAGGCTGAGACAGGAGGATTGAAAGTTTGAGGTCAGCCTCAGCAATTTAGCAAGACCCTAAGCAACATAGTGTCTCAATGTAAAAAATAAAATGGGCTAGTAAACTATAAAGAGATGCAATCTCACACCTATCAGACTATCAAAAGTTAAAAATAAAAATCTGACAATCCCTAATGATTGGAGAAGGAAAACACAAATTCATACTATACAGTAGGGAGAAGGAGGGAGCTATAGTTATCATACTGGTGACTTAAAAAAAATCATAAGGGAAAAAAAACTGTATTTATGTTATATACTATRGTGCCACTTATTGAAACCCAGAGAGCTGTACTTCTGTATTTCATTGAGAAGGACAACTGTGCATTAAAATGATAAAGGAATGAATAAGAATGACAAATGCCAAAATTAGGATTGGGATGGATACCTTTGAGGAAGGAAAGTACATGGGAGCTTAAACTATATTGGTAATGTTTTAATTTTTAGCTGAGTAATAGTCCTATGGGGGAGGATCCTTATTTCTGGCACAGTTTCAAGTATTAAACAGCTCATGCCAGGGGTGGTGGTGCACACCTGTAATCTCAGCAACTCTGGAGGATGAAGCAGGAGGATTCAGAGTTTGAGGTTAGCCTCAGCAACTTAGCAAGACTGTCTCAAAATAAAAAATGAAAAGGGCYGGAGATGTGACCTAGTGGTTAAGTGCCCCTGGGTTCAATCCCCAGTACCAAAAACAAAAATGGCAACCCATTAATGCCTATTTTTTTCAGCTTAAAAAATTAAAAGGCACTGATTCTGGTAGGCACTCCATGTTTTTAAACACCAAACTGCAGATAAGAAAGAAATGCAGGGGCTGGGGATATGGCTCAGTTGGTAGAGCACTTGCCTTGCATGGACAGGCCCTGGGTTCAATCCCCAGCACCAAAAGATGGGGGCGGGGGAGAGAGAGAGATGCAGGAAGTTCCTGACTTGGGAATTTTATAGTCCAAATTCCTATCCATAAGCTTGTGACTTGCCTTCTGCAAAGACTTAAAATATCCAGGAATGTGGATATTTGCCAGTGTGGTCAATTAGGCATAGTAGCACAATTTGGTTTAGAAGAATTTTAGGAAAATGTTATACTTGAGTAAAAAACTCAACATACTGGTTTTAAAAATGAATTCTTCAGTTGTACTAATTTCAAAGACAAGGTCATTTGATAAGGGAATAGCTTTTAAAGTAATCCCAGAGGCCACATCTTATATTACAGAGGAGCAACAACAGTAAGAGGATCTGGAAGAGAAAATCCCTAAGATCCCAAGAATAGATTTTTGCAAAAACTTTCCTCGTCTTCATATGATGATTACAAAAATCACCAATTTTAATACCTTCAGAGCCCAGAATGTGATGTTAGAAGATAGGGAAAATCTTCTTTGACTGAATGTGAAACTCAGTTTCAACATGGAAATAAAGTCAAGCAAACACCTCAGGAGCTCTGAGAACAGCTAAATGATTATCCCAACCACTGTTAGACTTCAGTACCTTAGTCAGCTCTCTTTCTCTGTGGAGGTCCTCATGAAGTTCTGGAAGAGGATCTTTACTTTGTGCTTTTAAAACTTGYAGCCTGCTTTTYAGCTCCTTGATTTTCTTTTCACACTGGTCCCAGGTCTATTTAAAAACAGTATTTAAATTGGATAAGTACTTGGTTCTTAAGAAACAATTGTACAAATAAAATAGCTCATTTAATCCACATAGTCTTTCTGTGTGTGTGTGTGTGTGTGTGTGTGTGTGTGTGTGTGTGTGTATGTGTTGGTACCAGTGATTGAACCCAGAGGTCTTTAACCACCGAGCCACATCCCCAGCCCTTTTTAAAATTTTATTTAGAGACAGGGTCTTGCTGATTTGCTTAGGGCCTCGATAGGTGGCTGAGGCTGGCTTTGAACTCGCAATCCTCCTGGCTCAGCCTCCCAAGCCGCTGGGATTGTAGGTGTGCACCCCCATGCCCAGTTCTTGTGTGTTTTTATAAATCACATTGYAGCCTGGTTCCCTGTCTTGAGTAGACTGATCTAAAGGAGCAGAGGGGACATCAATATGACTTGACATGGCCTTTGCAGTTTTACCAGTGGCTCGTTTGGATTGAAATCTCTCTTCCTCCCTGCTTGTCTTTGTCATTTACCTAACCTTCCTTTTGAGTTTTGGAGAAGTCTAGATCTAAAAAGCTACTGTAAGATGAACTTTTAGCATTCAGTGTTAGGCATATGCTGTTGATGGCACCACCAAGCAAAAAAAAAAAAAAAAAACAAAACTCAGCCCCTTCCTGGTCTTCTAATGTCACCCCTCTGCTGGCTCTCTGCTTCTTCCAATGCCTGGTTGTAGCAACCCCTTTACATTCAAYTTCCCTTGTCTGTTCTCATTACTGCCCTGACTGCCACTTTCTCYATAGTGCTTTGCAGTTTTACGAAGCTTTTCAAACTTCAGCAACTCATGGGAGTTATGACCTTRGGACACAGGGTAAATATTAACACACTTAAAATGAGACTCAGAGAATACTGACTGACCCACGGAGAGGGGGTTAAAAGCCTAGCCTAGTACTGACCACCTCTTTTCCTTAGATCTCACATTACTGAGCAAATAGAAACCTGCATTTTCAAGTTCAGGGTATTTATACTGGRCTCATTAGGTTAAGTTTCTATTTCTTAGGTTAGTAAAAGTAGACAAACATACAATGAAACACCATTCCGTTTCTCAGTACAACTGCTACCTAAACATACTCAGGGTGACCCAAATCTAGGGAACCCTCCCACCTAAGGGGAGGCCATTTGTCTAGCAGCAWCTACTTCCTGGTACTCAACTAGGAAGAAAGCAAAGAGAGAAGCAGAACTGTGAGTCCCAGCTGCTCCCACCAAACCTTTATTTTCCCTTACCATCATGCTTTACAAATAAAGCAGATGGTCAAMCAGAGATTGCTAGCTCATGAATTTCACATAAAATCCACATACCACATAAAATTCAGACACTTCATTACAGGAGAAATGCTTAGGCCCAAACTCAGCACAGTTATACTTAATTTGAAAAGGTGCCCCTGACAAGCTTGGTTATCTAGTAGCAGCGCACACAACTGATTAGAGGAGAGTGGGCCATATGGAGTAGGGAAACTCAAAGATGGGAATAATAATAAAAAAAAAATAGCTTCCTATTCAGAAAAGAGAAAGAAAAATCATAAAAATTATATCAGAACTTAAAGAGCATCTAAGTTTTGGGTCATAGGTTCAAATCAGCTGAAGTCCTTGAGAATACCATGGTATTTTGGCAAAACAACAATTTTCCTACTAAAGATTCAAAATAAAATATTTTGGAACAGGAAGTGGTGTGGCATATGCCTATAATTGCAGTTATTTGAGAGGCTGAGGCAGGATGAACACAAATTGGGGTCAGCCTGGACAACTTAGAGAAAAGGGTTGGTGGGGAACATTTCAATTCTTCTTCTTCTTCTTTTTTTTTTTTTGTACCAGGGAATGAACCCAGAGGCACTTAACCATTGAATCACATCCCAGCCCCTTTTATATTTTATTTAGTGACAGAGTCTAGCTAAGTGGCTTAGGGCCTTGCTAAATTGCTGAGGCTGACTTTGCAATCCTCCTGCCTCAGCCTCCTGTGCCATTTGGGATTATTGGCATGTGCCACGGTGCCCGGCTGGAACATTTCAATTCTTAAGTGTGCAGTCATAAATTATCTGGTATCTGGAAAATTCACTTATGTGGAAAAGAGTATTCTCTGATCACAGCAGAAAAATGTAGTGTCAGCCAGGTGTGGTGRTACATGCCTATAATCCCAGCGGTTTGGGAGGCTGAGGCAGGRGGATCACGAGTTCAAAGCCTGCCTCAGAAAAAGCAAGGCCCTAAGCAACTCAGTGAAACCCTGTCTGTAAATAAAATACAAATCAGGGCTAGGGGCTGGGATTGTGGCTCAGTGGTAGAGTGCTTGCCTATCATGTGTGAGGCACTGGGTTCAATCCTCGGCACCACATAAATAAATAAATAAAATAATTATGATGATCTACAACTAAAAATAAAACAACAACATCAGCAACAACTACAAAAAAAAGAAAAAAAAAGGCTGGGGGATATGGCTCAGTGGTTGAGTGCCCGAGTTCAATCCTCAGCACTCAAAAAAAAAAAAAAAAGTACAGTTTTTGTGTTTGTTTCATATATTTTACCCCAGGATAGACCACTGTATGGAAGGTGAGCTTTGTGGTTTAAATTTCTACCAAAAATGATTGTTTCATACTTCATAAATGTAAATGTCTTACCAGAGCCTTAACTAATTATATACTTATCACTAAGCTTTTTCCATGTTATATTATTATTTTACTATTATGAAGTAACTAGCATAACTCACAGGTGAGTAGAATTTGAGTTCCATTGGAAAACTCACAACATTAGATTTCCTAGAGTCACTCCCATCTTCACATGGCAAATAAAAATCATATACAGAGTACTTGAACACCATGAATGTATGAATACATGGTGGTTTACCTCTATGATGCTTTGGAGATGCTTAATCATCTGTGCTAGATGGAGCTCCGTGTCCTTCCAGTTGTTCTGCAGCTCTCTGATTCTCTTGTTCATGGACTCTTTTGCTTCCAGGTTAGGTGTGTTCAGTAATTTCTCCCCAGCTTCCAAGGTTAGTGCATAGGTGGTTTGCCATCTCTGAAAATGGATTTCCTTATTCTAAAAAGAAAAAAAAATATTGATTTCAATCACTGATGTGATACAAATGTGATGGTGTGTGTTTGTCTAGATTTCCTTCAAAGCACTTCTTTTCTTCCTTCCTTCTCCTCCTCCTCTCTCCTGCTCTCCCTTCCTCTGTCACTCCCCACTCCTCTTGCTGGTACCAGAGATTGAACCCGGAGGCACTTTACCACTGAGTATATTCCCAGCCCTTTTTATTTTTTAAATTTTCAGATAGGGTCTTACTAAGTTGCTTAGGTCCTTACTAAGTTGCTTAGGTCCTTGTTAAGTTGTTTTTTTTTTTTTATTTTTTTTATTTTTTTTTTCTTGTTAAGTTGTTGAGGCTGGTCTTGAACTTGCAATTTTCCTGTCTCAGCTTTCTGAGTACCTGGTATTATAGGTGTGCATCGTGGTGCTTGACTTGAAAGCTTTTCTTAAATGTTAAATTAGACATAGACCAAACAAATCTGGTCAGAACGGGCAGCATGCACGAACACTTACACGTGTATACATGGGCTCTTAGTCACTTCCAAAGCTAATGTTTTACTTTGAGTAGACAGCACATTACCAAGGAAGATGTTCTTAAAATAATTAAGATAAATAAATAAAACAAGGTTTAGTAAGAGATTAACATTCTTAGTGTAATGATGGAAAGGGAAGTTTAAAATATATGCTTCATAGAATAAAAGCTTATAAAGGTAAATGGATCTAAGTGTATTAAGAAAATGATTTAGTATTAGACCTGAAATTATCATTCGTACTATTTATCACCATGGCAATCCAGAAGAGTATAATGGGCATATCATCCTGAACAAATGTAAAAGAGGACAGAATAAAAGAGGTTAAAAAAAAAAACCACTTCAAGATTATTACACAAACATGTATATTAATACATGCACTAAAAGGACACTTTAAAACAATTCTACCTGAACATCACAAAGGCTTTTCTTTAGTGAGGATGTAAATTAGCTATTTATAAATGCAAAAATGAAGTAAAAATTTTTAATTGATTCATGCTTCTGAAAGAATTTGCTTTCATGGGAAAAATTTCGATAGCTTTTTTCCTTTCCAAATATGATTTCCTTCATCTTCAAATTTCTTATCTAGGACATAAGGTAGACATTTCCAAGACAGAAGCTGATAAACAACAATGAGCACTGATTTACGTACAAAGGTGTTTCTGGGAAGACTTGAGATCATTCGAACCCAAAGGAGCAGAGGAAATAAGAGAAACTGACTCCAGGAACATACCCCGTCCCCCCAGATCTTCCAGCCCCTCAGCCTCCTGGTCTTCCTCTTCCCTGGCTTGGTCTCCAGCCCCAAACCAGAGTCATCCTGGACTGCATTTTTCTTTACTTGCCACATTCAAACTGTTAGTGAATTTTGTAAACTATCTACAAAAATAGCCCTTAAAAAAAAAATCTCCACTCAGATGGCTCTTGTCTTAGCTCTCATAACAACTCTCCAAGACTACAGGAACAGCTTCCAACTGGTAGGGCAAACTGTTTTTTTCTCATAAAATAATCACAACACTCTCAGTCCCACAAGTTCTTCTGGAACCTTGCCACTGTTCATCACATGGTGGTCCCTTTGTCCCCTCCTCTTGAACCTGTGAGGGTGTGTCTAATGGCCTTGATTAACAGAATATGGCAGATGGGACATGTGTAACTTCTGAGTTTGGCTCTAACCCATCTCCCATACCTACCCCTGTACTAGGGATTGAACCAGGGGCACTCTACCACTGAGCTATATCCCTGGCCCTTTTTATTTTCTATTTTGAGATAGGATCTCACTAAGTTGTCTAGGCTGGCCTTGAACTTGCAATACTCCTGCCTCAGCCTCCCTAGTTGCTCAGATAATAGGTGTGTGCCACTGTGTCAGGCACTATCCACTCATCTTTGCTTCCAGCTTCATCCCATGGCCCAAGAAAGCCTTCTATTTCTATGGTTATTATTACTGTTTTTTGGTGCTGAAGATTAAACCCAAGGGTGCTCTACCTCTAAAGCACATTCTCAGCCATTTTTATTTCTTAATTTGAGGAAGACTCCAATTAAGTTGCTTAGGTCCTTGCAAAGTTGGTAAGGCTGGCTTTGAACTTGAGGTCCTCCTACTTCAGCCTCCCAAATCGCTGGGACTACAGGTATGTACCACTGCCCCTGGATGAGCCTTGCTATTCTAGATGAACAGGTATATTGGAGTTTCTAATCCTACAAGGCTAGACCAGGCGGTGGACTGTGGTGACTACATCCAGCTGGCTTCCCATTGAGCAGAGCATACTTGGACTGTGACATTGGAGAAAATACAAAACTTTAGGTGAATGAACATTTAGCAAATGATGACTACCTCATGTTTCTCACACTACTGCTGCATGCATTACCTTTAGCTCATGGATTAGACTTCTGATTTGGTAGAGGCTGTAGCAATCCTGATCCTTTACTGCAGACAGCATGTGGCTAGTGTTGGTGAGGAAGCGGAACAAGTCCTCCATGGAGGAGGTGAAGTATAGCCACTGCCTCACCAGCTGGTCAATGTCACTCTTCCTCTGCCGAACGCCTTGGGCAGCACTYTGCCAGTGGTCCGTCAGATTTGAGAATTCCAAAACAAATTCTGGTCTGGGAAAAATAGATGGTTAGAGATTCTTGACATGATCACACAAGAAAGAATACTGTCAGTGAGTCATAGAGACTCAGATTTTCTATTTGTATGTACAATTTGCATCAAACAACTTGTTAAAATTTGAGACCCATTCCACTTAAACCTAAGGGGAAGCTTTGGAAGAGGCAATGTGTGGTTGGCAAAAAGTGTTTAGCAGAAGATAATCTGCATATAATTGGTGTTTTGCCAGTATATACAACTATTTCCTTAAACAAACTGAGCAGTGTTAACATATATTATGCCACATGCTGCCTAGAAATCTTGGAGTTGGCATTGAAAGGAAACAAATGAATAGGCAGGTACCTTGTGGTGTTACTAATTACTGGAAATTGTTCTTAAATTTTAAGAATAAAGAGCCTGCCACATGAGCCAGCTACAGGAAGAGTTCAGTTATGGTCAGCAGACTGGCCATGGGGGCTCTGCTCAGCTAGACCAGCACTGGTCCTAACCCCAGGTGGTCAGCCTGGAGAGAAGTCCCTTCTTTAACAACTATGACATGGTTTCTTATTAGGAACAGAAGCATTTAAAAACTTATTTTGAAATAACAAACCATCATGAGGGTGATGAAATACATTACAGAAGAACCATTCTGGATTAAAATTTACTATACCTGGGGAATGGGTATTTTCAAAAGCTTCTGTGCTACTGACCCCATCCATCTACCATAGGGAAAAGAGCCACCGGTGTTTTTATGGCCACACAGCAAGACCCTGTCCTAATGTACTGCCAGAAGACTGGACTCATAGTGATCTATCAGCTAACCTGGCTTCAGGGCATGGACACGGGCAGAAGAATGTGCTGGCAGATAAAAGAAGTAAGTTCTAGTTTTCTGTAGCAAAGTGGGTGACTATGAGTCACAACCTTCTTCATATTTTAAGAAGAACTGGAAGAGAGGTGTTTGGGGGTTCTAATTATAAAGAAAGGGTGAGGAGATGGAAAACTAATTACTCTGATTTGGTCAGTGCACACACACACAAAAAAAAAAAAAAAGAGAGAGAGAGAAAGGAAGAAAGATCTGCATGTCAGAGGTCTGTCTCAATCAACTGCATTATTTCTGTAAGTCCTAGAGGGCTTACCTCTTCTCTATTTCTGTTGTGTCCAGGAGTTGTAGGGACTGGGTGACATAAGAATCAGCAATTGTCTGGTTTATAGAAACTTCAGCTTCTAACATCTGCATGGGTCAAAACATAAAATTCTCAGCTAGAATTCGTTTTTATGAATGTGGAGAGCCCTTCTTTTACAACTACAACATAGCTTCCTGCTACAAATTTCTTATTAAAATCTATGATGGCAGGGGATATAGAAATGATTTGTTTTCAAGTTATTTGAGTTCAACTGGAAATGCTCAACCATCACCCCAACATTTCCTTAGAGCAAATAGGTCTAATCATAATTATGCCTAAATGCTCATTTCCATTGGATTTTTTTTTTGTACTGGGTTTTAATCTAAGGGTGCTTTACCACTGAGGCACACCCCCAGCCCTTTTCAATTTTTATTTTGAGACAAGGTTTCACTAAGTTGCTTAGGCTGGCCTTGAAGTTGTGATCCTCCTGCATCAGCCTCCCAAGTTGTTGGGATTTCAGGTGTGTGAGTGCCATCTTGCCAGGCTCCATTGGATGATCTTAGTAACAGTATAGACTAAAATCAGTTATGTTAAAAAGTAACAGTGAAATAATMAGGCACACTTTCCAGGATTTGCCACCAGGAGGATTTTGAATATACATCAGTATAGCAAGGGGGAATACTTCCGTGAACTACTAAACATTGCAATTATTATTGCACAGGGTACTTCACTCCTATAGAGAATTAGTGAAAATGCAAAAATGAGCTGAAGTAATTTAATATGCTCTCGGTATATTATTTGATGGGTATATTTGCATTCTGTAGAAGCAAAGTTATGCTAGAAGCTTCCATGCACTGCAGGAAATCTAGGAGTGCTGTCACTTATAAAACATTGTAACAAAATGTTGAAGTATGAAATGTGTGAGAAGTTTACAAATGATCAGTTAATTACTGAATTTGCTTAAAGATGTACACTCTGTMGTTAGAGAGTGATAGGTAGGTACTTATTGTATTTGGATCTATCTTTCCCGGACTCCTGCTCCAGAGAGCACAGGTTTACCTCATAAGCTTTCTGCTGTTCCAGGAGAGCAGGGAGGCTGTTGGCAATATTCACTTTGAGCATCTCTTCTATCTTTTCCAAAAGTTGGACCCATTTTTCACAACAATGAAGAAAATTTTCATTTAACCCACTTTCCTGCAGCTCGCTACAAAGGTTTAAAAACAAACAAAACGGTACCACATGATGACGACTTGACCGAACTTGAGCTGTTCATTTTACCCAAATTGGAACAATGGCACAGATGGGATGTTCTGACCTGCAGCGGTCCAGCGCTGTGGCAGTGGCGCGAATCCATTGCCGGTTCATATTCTGTAACGTCTTCAGGGGCATGTCACTGAGTGGGAGCATGAGGCTGTCTTCATTCAGACGTTCAATGTCAGGAGACTGGGCTATCAATGCTAGCACATGATTCTATGAAAAAATAAAGACCAGATTTTTGGATGCCAATAAGAATACTTAGATAATGAAATGGCCTCCTTATCTTAAAGATGAGGGAAAACTGGGGCCTGAACAGGTAAATGACTTGCCCACAGTTAGTTAGCTAGACATTGAAATAGCCCAGGAAGTAGGAAGRGAAATCAATGTTTTGTCTGAGCAAGACTGAAAATAGGCTCAAACAAAATATACCCCCAGCAAAGCATGATAACTTAAACCATACTTTAAGAAAATATTATTCCATTTTGATAGAATATAAAATCACAAGAAAGCAAATTCATTAACATTTTATCTGTAAAAAGATATTCTAGGTACAGCCTGTAAGTAGGTCCATAATATGTTAAGCAAACATGTCTCACAATATCCATATTATCACTATAGAACTCTGCTGTAATAGTCTAGGTCAGGGTCAGCAAACATTTTCTGCAAAGGGCCAGATCATACATATTTTATGCTTGAACTGAACATGGTGTTGAGCACCGGGAGTCCCTGCTCCTTGGCATCCTGGGGCAGGAAGACTGCTTGAAGCTACAAGTTCTAAGTCTGAGCAACATAGGAAGACCCCATCTCAACAAACAAAAACCATAAATAAGTAAATAAATAAATGCTTTAGGTTTTTGTAGGCCATATGATCTCTACAACAACTCTTCAACTCTACCCTTAAAGTATGAAAAGTCTCATAGATGATGTGTTAATGGAGGGGCATGTCTGGCTTCAAATAAAACTTTATAATAATAGCAGGTTGACTTGAATTTGGATAAGGTACCTCGTTTGCTGCTCCTCATCTAAGGTTATAAATATCAATCCTTAAGAGTTGCAAGATCCAGAATTCCTAAATTCTTTCAATTCACTTATGCTAACTGTACAAAATTTATTAAGGTAATTTTTTAAAAGGAAAAAAATACACAATTTTTTTCTTTCTTTGCAGTATTGGGGATTGAACCCATGGTCTCATGCATGGTAAGTGCTTACCACTGAGTTACACCTCCAGTTCCCTTTTTTAAACTTTGAGACAGGGTATCACTAAGTTGGCCAGGCTGGCRTCCCAGTTGCAATCCTACTGCCTCAGCCTCCTAAAGACTCTAGGATTACAGGCATGTGCTACCATTCCTGATAAAACATACCATTCAGATAGAATATTTTACACTTGATCTTCAACCAACCAGAAAAAATAATCACAGTAGCTGATTCTGGTTCACATAAGTTAATTAATAAGAACCACAAGATAACAGAAAATCTAGGAAAAGTTACTATGACATATTACTAAAATAGATCTCCATGTGTTCTACTTTTCTAGACCCTAGAAAAAATAGGGCAGGAATAAATGGTTAGCAAATAACTRTGCTCAAGAGTTAATTAGGGTGGAAACTGATTCTATAGTGCAACAGTAATTAGCTTATTTTTTTTCATCCTATGGTGAGTATAAGCCCTGAGGAAAGACAAATATTGCCAATACCAGGAACGAGCCAGGATTTTCTTCTTTGTCTCGTTGGTAAAGTTTATCCAAATTCTCTTCCTCGTGTATAATGAGGCCTTTTAAAGATTCCAGCCGGTTCTCAAAATCCTTAAACTGTGAGAGAACAAACTAGAAGGAGAGATTTTCATTACAAATGGTTTCCATGAGCATATATCACAGTTTAGCATAGCCTCGGGGAAGGATAAAAGTTGAAGTTATTTTCCATCCCCAACAGCTCATTACTGTCTGAAAAGTTCATAGATGACTAATCTGAAGACCATAGATTTTCACCCAGTRCGTCTGACCTTCATAGAGGGAAAGCTCACCTGTTGAGGGGACCACACAGAGGAGAGCCAGCCCTTGGGCTTGCTAGTTTTACTTCTTGTTGCTATTGAGACTTGAGACTGGCACTCCAAGGCCTCTATATAGCTCACACATTAAAAGCTTTTCAGAAAGCGAATAAACAATATAGCAACTGGCCATCCAGCAGCTACTTCTATGACTCAACCGCCCTACTAGGAAATCTAAATAAAACATCACATTTTTAAACTAACACATTCCATTAAGATCTTCCCATGCCCATATGATTGAAGACAGAATCACACCGGGTGTTGTCATTCTGCTCCTTCCCTAACGTGCTGTCCAAAAAGCACTGCTACATCGATGTTCATAGCAGCACAATTCACGATAGCAAGATTGTGGAATCAGCCTAGATGCCCTTCAATAGATGAATGGATTAAAAAAATGTGGCATTTATACACAATGGAGTATTACTCTGCATTAAAAAATGACAAAATCATAGAATTTGGAGGGAAATGGATGGCATTACAGCAGATTATGCTAAGTGAAGCTAGTCAATCTTTAAAAAACAAATACCAAATGACTCCTTTGATATAAGGGGAGGAAACAAGGACAGGGTAGGGACGAAGAGCTTGAGACGAAGATTTACATTAACAGGGTTGAGAGGTGGGAGGGAAAGGAAGTGAGAAGGGAAATCGCATGGTAATGGAAGGCGATCCTCAGGGTTATACAAAATGACATATAAGAGGAAAGGAGGGGTAAGACAAGATAATACAAATGGAAGAAATGATTTACAGTAGAAGGGGTAGAGAGAGAAAAGGGGAGGGGAGGGGAGGGGACGGGAGGGGAGGGGGGATAGTAGAGAATAGGACAGACAGCAGAATACATCAGACACTAGAAAGGCAATATGTCAATCAATGGAAGGGTAACTGATGTGATACAGCAATCTGTATACGGGGTAAAATTGGGAGTTCATAACCCACTTGAATCAAACTGTGAAATATGATGTATTAAGAACTATGTAATGTTTTGAATGACCAACAATAAAAAAAAAATGTTTTGACTAAGAAAAAAAAAAAAAAGAGGGATTGAGATTAGCACATCAATGTCCACGACTACAATTTGAATGGAAAAGTAAGATGAACCTCAAATTCATTTGCTTTCACAAGCAGCATCTTTTCCAAATAAATAGCTCTCCGGAGGGAATACAGTTGACCAGAAAAGAGCCCCGAGGCGTTGGACTCCGCAGGTTGTGGGAATCGGTCCAGGAGGATGGAATTTTGGAGAAAGACTTCTTTTGTCTTCTGCACTTCCTGCTTCAGCTCCTGGAGAAGAAAGAGGAATCATACTTCTCCCTCCTTTCACATCAGTCCCTAGCCCCTGCCATTCCATCAGCATCAAAAAAATCTAGGAGAACTTTTGCCTTGAACTTGTGGGCTTACCTTTTTGTTACTGTTCCTTTTAAGTAGCTGAAAAAGCTAAGATCTCTTCAAATGAGGTGTCTCACTGAACCGTTCYGAAATTTGTCAGTTCACAGCTAAAACTGACCACCGTCCAAAAGAGTTGAGAGATCTAGTTTATGGAAGCTGCAGACCAACTGGGTAGACTCGTGTGTTTATAGATTGYACACCATTTCAAGAATCATTGTGATGTGGACCCCTTCTCCTCAGACTTCCTGATATAAATGTGGACTCACTTTGCAGAGGCTATAGAATCTTAATCAAGCGGATTTTAAGACTACATTTGGTGATGTTTTGTGTTTGAAATTTCAAGATTTTTGTTTTGTTTTAAAACAACCAATCAGGTAGAAGTAGATTAGAAATATGGCTCAGCTGCATTCCTATGTCTTTAATTCAACTGTTTACTTTGTTTTGATTTGAACATYGGAAGATCCAAAATACACTTGGTCACTAAGTTTAAAACTAAAAATTATTCACTTTCTGGACATTTCATAACTCTAATATGAAAAACACCACAGAGGAGACTGTACTGCTCTTAAATATCCTCTAAAAATCACTACTCCCACAGAAAAGCCATACTAACATGGCACCAAGTTCATGATTATTTCTAAAACAAGAGATTCCTCAATGGCCCCACTCTGGGGAGACACTTTTCCTTTTTTGTTTTGTTTTTTTAATATTTTTAGTTGTAGATGGACACAATACCTTTATTTATTTTTTGTGGTGCTAAGATCAAATCCAGTGCCTCCTATGTGAGAGGTAAGCGATTCACCACTGAGCGACAACCTCAGCCCACACTTTTGCTTTTATCTCAGACTTTATATAAGGCTTTTGCTTTAGAGATTTAACTGCCAGAGTCAAAGTGTTGACTTAGAACATGRTGCTTCCAGGTCCCTCCTGGCTGCTGCCGGAACCTCTGCTCTGAGCTGCCAGCTGCTCTGTTCCTTCCAGCCCCACACATTCCGCCTCATTGCAGGCTACACAACTTGTCAGCCTGGGCACCTGGTGCCCCAGGGCACTTGTCCTGACTGATATCTCTGAGGTCTGTCTTATTTCAAGGTTGAGGCTGTCCCTCACTGGCCCTGTCAGCTGGGCTGACTTGGCTTTGGTTTCCCATTGGGCTCTGTACCCACCTTTATGTCCTGCAGGGCCACTGGCAGGATCTCTGCCAGGTTGTTTCCAGACATGTTGATGTTTGCAAGCTGTTGAAATTTGGCTTCCTGCTGCTCCAGCCTTGCTGTGGCTTCCACATGAGCACTTCGATAAACTTTCCAGAGCTGGAGCAGAGTCTGGGCCTCCTGCAACTGGTCTGCAAGATCTTGGTTTACCTGGGTCCACCTGTCAGTGCAATGTGACAACAGGACCCTCATTCCATCCTTTTTCTTGTAGCAAAAGTATAATATACACACTCAACTATGAATTTAAGAGTAGGTGGATAAGACACTGCCAAATGCTTTTTWAAATGAATGGCATCACCATTTAATAAACCGCAATATAAACAGATCCAAATCAGGATATTTACTTGACTATAGTATTCAACAAAAGAGATAACATTGGTGATTAGCAAGAAATATCCACTGTATTATGAATACCTCTTAGGCAAAGGGGGAGAAAGCACTGAATTGTACACCTGATGAAGCTTCTCCATGTGGGAGATACTTCCAATCCACAGAGAGCTTCTTTAAACAAGTTTTAAAATGTGTTTATGAAAAGTAAGTTTATTTTCCAATTATATAAGTAAAATATCACTTTTATAGARGTAAATGGGAATTGTTTTATTCCATATACAGTCTATATCTTGCGTTTCTCTCCTATGTGACTTTTAAAAATATATTTTTTCAAGTTATTAATAAAAAAATAAGAAAATCTAATTTTAAACAACTGTACAAAATGGTCTGCAAATAGTACAAGTTGAACTTGTACATGCGGTGGTGACCAGGACTCTTCAAATAGCAACYGTACTACCTTATGTTGAGGGTGGCCCTGATAACTCTATGTGGAGTTGAATATATTTCTATGCTCCTGCTTACTCCCTTTTCCAATATAGACTGGATCGAGACCTGAGGACATCWCTGCAGGGTAGAGAGTTTGATTTCCTTTGTTCAGTACTTGTTCAAAGTTGATTTACTGGAGTGGCTGCATCTGCRTGGAGGAGGAGTGGAGAAGGACCCTCAAGGCGGCTTGACCTCTTTGTCCTTGTCTCCAGCACATTAGCTTTCATATATCATGCCTCAAACCAAAGTCTTGCAATTAATGAGGGCCACACACTTTAGAAAGACTTTCATATGCCACAAGCAGCAATTTTTCAAAGAATTCCTTCCAGTCACAAATATTCCTTCCTTTCCACCAGAAATGGCTTCCCCAAGAGATACAACRTTCTTTTTTTTCCAGCTTACAATGTTTATGGTGATGCTTGATGGACTCCTGCAATCCACCCACCCGGCCCACCCCTTAGTGTGTTTCTGCCACTGCCTCTRATGTTCCTGAGATGGCTCCTGACATTCAGTGCATGCTCTCTGTAAGTGGCTACCCTGGGGCTGTAATTAGGGCATTTTTAGATTCATGTCCAATTACTACAGGAGGCACATGCCAGCCCTCACGGCATCTAACTGTACATGAACTAGACCATTCAAAGCAGAGGCCAGAATAATATGGAACCAGTCATCTCAGAGGACTAGGAAGACCTTACAAGACCTTAGGTCTATCGTTCTGATTGCATCTTAAAGTGTACCTTGCATGAGTGTCTTGGCATTTCTCTTCAATTATTTCAGCAACTGAGGGGCAGGAATCTTTGAGTCTATGAATAACCTCCCGGAGTTTCTCCCAACTCCCTTCGCTGATCTCAGCTTCATCTTGAAGAGACTAAGAACAGAGCAGGAGAGTCAGTTTCAGATTGCCTCCCCACTCCACGGAAGACAGCAGTTCTTGCTTCTCAATGCTACACAATGAGAGCAGTCACACAGTAAAACTTTTTTTTTTTTTTGCAATGCTAGGGTTGGAACCCAGGACCTTGCATGTCGTAGGCAACTGCTATGCCTCTAAAGTACACCTCTAGCCCCACAGTAAAACTTTTAAATTGCAAAATAATATGGACATGGAAAATGAAGGAAAATCAACATATGGTTTGATAGTTTTACTCTTTTGCTCACATGACTCACTTTAGAATTTAAAGGTATACTTTATGTTTTTGATCCTGGGGATTGCTCCCAGAGGCCCTCTACCACTGAGCTACATCCTCAGCCCTTTTTCTTTTTTGATACACAGTTTTGCTAAGTTGCTGAGGCTGGCCTTGAACTCACAATCCTCTTGCCTCAGCCACCCTAGTCCCTGGGATTACAGATATGTGTCACCATGCCCATGCCTGGCTTTAAGGTATACTTTTTTTTTTTAAAGTTGTAGATGGACACAATACCTTTATTTTTTATTTTAATTTAATTTTTATGTGGTGCTGAGGATTGAACCTAGTACCTCACACATGCTAGGCAAGCACTCTACCACTGAGCTACAACCCAGCCCCCCAAAGTATACTTGTATTTAATATATTTTTGGGGGGTGCTAGGGATTGAACTCAGGGGCACTTGACCACCGAGCCACATCCCCAGTCCTATTTTGTATTTTATTTAGAGACAGGGTCTCACTGAGTTGCTTAGCATCTGGCTTTTGCTGAAGCTGACTTTGAACTACTAATCCTCCTGCCTCCACCTCCCAAGCCACTGGGATTCCAGGTGTGTGCCACCAAGCCCAGCTCAAGGTATACTTTTGATATTGCATTAACACACTGTTTGGGGCTTCTCTGTGGAGGCACAAACCCACATGCATCCTTTATTGTTCTTGCTTCCATTTGGAATTTCCTGCCAATAWTGCACTGCACCACACTCTGGCTAATTTACCTGAAGGTTCTGCACCTGGCACCTCAAGGCCTCCAGTGACAACACCACAGGCTTGCTGTGTTCCATGCAGTACCCARATTGGATCGCCAGCATGTTCACTTCATCATAGAGTTTATCATACAACTTCCACTCCTGTAGCACCGACTGCATGAAGCTTTTGAGCTCACTGACCTATATGAAAAAGGAGACAGAACTCATTTAGAAAATCCTTGACAAGACATGGTCTCTTGAGAGCCCTGGAAAAGGACAGTGAACAAGGAATGGAATCTGAGTGCACTGCTCAGGTATCCTGTATTAGTTTTCTGGCCTTGGGTAAATTATTTAACCYTACTGTTGTCTTCCTCATCCACAAACACAGAGATTAATAAAAGAAAAAACAAACAAACAACCYCCRCCCCAATAGGATCTGTGAAAATGCTCTAATAACTGTAAAGCATTGCAAATATGTTACCTGGCACTTGGGTCTGATTATTGCAAAATAGTTACAAACTGGAGAGAACCCTGCCCTAGTCAAAGGATGGGAAAGAGCAAAGTTGGACAAAAGGCAAAAGGTGGGTCCATTTTATCCATTGGTATGTTTTGATAGTGATGAAAGGGGTTGAGCATTTTGTTGCCAATCAAAATGACTTTAGATACGACTGTGAGTAAAAGAATACAATTCAATGATAAAAGACAATAACCAAACTGAAGAATAGGAGAAGGACTTGAGAAGACATTTCTCCAAAAGGTACACCCATGGTCCATAAGCACTTGAAAAGATGCTCCACTCCATAGTCATCAGGGAAATGTCAATCAAAACCACACGGAGATATCAATTTGTATCTACTTTGATGGCTAGGATCAAAAAGTCAGGTAACAACAGGTGAGGGCGTGGCAAGAATCCTCACACACTGCGGGTGTGGATGTAAAAGGATGTAGCCACTGTTAAAATCCATTCCATGGTTAACCATAAAAGACAAACAGAAGCTGGCTGTGGTGGCACACACCTATAACCCTAGGTACTTGGGTGGCTAAGGCAGGAGGATTACAAGTGTGAAGCCAGCCCGGGCAATTTAGCAAGACCCTGTCTCAAAATAGAAAAAAATTAGGGAGGGGGGACCTGGGAACATAGCTCAGGACTTGCCTCGCATGTACAAGGCCCTGAGTTCAATTTCCCAGAACCACCAAAAAGAAAAAGTCAAATTACCACTAGACCTAATAATGGTATTTGTAGATACAGATTCAAGAGTACAAAAAACATGTTTGCACAAATGTTCATGGCAGTGTGGTTCCTAAGAGCTAAAAAGTAGAACTAACCCAAACATTTACTAACTGGTGAACAGATTAACTGTGTCTTATCTATACAATGAAATAGTCAGTCATAAAAAGAAATGAACTACTGATACAAACTACAATATTGATAACCTTGAAAACATGCTAGGGGGTCAGGGTATGCTGAGAGATAGAGCAAATGCTTAGTATGCTGGGGCCCTGGGGATCCTCAGCACAAAAAGAAAGAAGAGTGGTGTGTGAGGGGGAAATCCTCACCAGGGTAGTTTTTTCTCAGAAACTGAGACCTGCATGGGTGGCAATGGCCCAAGGTATCCATCGGGTAGTGGTTCCAGGACATCCCATCAGAAAACAAAATCTAAGGATGCTCAAATCCCTTATGTAAAGGGATGTAGTATTTGCACATAMGCTCTGCACATCCTCCTATACAATTTACACTATTTCTTGATTACAGATGATACCTAACACAATGTAAATAGTTATCTAGGGAATAATAACAGGGGGAAAAGTCTGTACATCTTAAGTACAGACACAATTTGTCCCCCAAATATTTTTAGTCTGTAGTTGGTTGACTGTGTGGATGCAGAGGCCAGCCTGTCCCAGCTCATCCCCGAGCCCACASGTGCACCGTTCTACAAGGATGGCCAGGTGCATGCCGCGCAAGGTGCTCACAGCTTCCACATAGAGAGGTGGTGCGACTTCTAGCACTCTCCCAGGGRCCCCTTTTAATACTGCAACTTCATGGAGAAGACATGGTATGTGTGGTTTGAAGGAAAAGAAGAAATTTATTAAGAAAAACTCACTACAGCAGAAAGAAGAAGGAGAAATGTTTTCAAAATGTGAAAACTGGGATCAGCCGAAGAGTAGCATTTATTGAGCACTGATAGGCATCACGGTTGAGGTAAGAAGAAATGAGTAGGTCTTATCATGCCCACTCTGTAGATCAGGAAACAAAGGCTTAGAGAAACAACCTCCCCAAGGATACAGACAGACAATGATGTTATGAGGATCTCTTTAAAACTGTGACCAGAGTCCTTGCTCTTAACATAAGGCTATATTGACTCTGAACATCTTACGGATGGAGGATTCCAACTTATACCCTCTGTATTTTAAAAATAATACTTTACTGAGATACAATTAACATACCACACAATTCACCCATTTTAAAAGCACAATCTTCATAASTAATTTTAGAACATTTTTCTTTCCTTTGGTATTGGGGATTGAACACAAAGGTGTTTCCCAGTGAGTGACATCTCCACTTCTTTTTATTTTAAGACAAGGTCCCTCACTAAGTTGCTGAGACTGGCTTCAGACTTGCAATCCTCCTGCCTCAGCCTCCAGGTTCTCTGGGATTATAGGTGTGTGCCACCATGAAGAACATCTTCTGTCACTTCAAAACCAAAAGYCCATGCCCATTGGCTGTCACTTTTCCCAGCCTCTAATCTACTTTCCACCTCTACAGATTTGCCTATGCTGGATTATTTCATATAAGTGGAATCATATGATATGTAGTCTTTTATGACCAACTTTTGTCACTTAACATAGTGCTTTTAAGCCCCTCAATGCTGTAAAATACACTGATACTTCACTCCTTCTTATAGCTGCATATTCCATTATATAGACATATCACATTTTATATAAACATTCATACATTGATAGACAATCAATTATTTCTCCTCTTYCTCTATTATGAATTATAGTTATGAATATTCATGTACAAGTTTTTTGTTTTAATTTCTTTTGAATTATCTAAATCTGATGGAATTGCTGAGCAGATGTCAATCTACCTAACCATTAAAGGAACCATCAGGCTATTTGCCTATGTAGCTRCACCATTTGACATCCCCGTGAACTGTGATTGAGGGTTAGTTTCTTCCCATCTTTTCCAACACTTGCTGTTGCCTTTGTTATCGTTATCCTAACAGATGTGAACTGGCATTTCATTGTGGTTTTGATTTTCATTTCCTTGATGGTTAATGTCATTAAGCATGTTTTCATGTACTTATGGCTATTTGTATTATATTCTTTTTGTGGTACTGGGGACTGAATCTAGGGATTTGTGCAAGCACTCTGTCACTGAGCTATATTCCCAGTCCTTTTTTGTTTTTTTTAAATTTGTTTTCAGACAGGCCTTGGTAAATTGCCCAGGCTAGCATTGAACTTGTAATTCTCCTGCCCCAGTCAATTTATCTATCTTTTCATATCATATCTAGAAAACCAGTCATGAATTGGGATAGTGGTGCATGCCTGTACTCCCTGATACTCCAGAGGCTGAGGCAGGAGGATCACAAATTGATACAGCCTGGGCAAGGCAAGACCCTGTCTCAAAATTAAAAATAATAATAATAATAATAATAAATAAAATAAAAAGGGACTAGGGATGTAGCTCAGTGGTAGAGTACCTCTGGATTCAATTTCCAATACTGAAGGAAAAAAAAAAGAAACAAAGATTTTTTAAAAAGTCATGAAGATTGATACCTGTTCTAAAAGTTTTACAGCATTAGCTTTTACTATGTCCTTGATTCATTTTAAATTAACTTGTGTACATGGTGTGAATGTGKGTGTCTGGTGGTGCCAGTGCCTTTTTGAAGATTTTTCCCATCAATGAATCATCTTGACACCCTTGTTAAAAAAAATATAAATGAACTGTACGGCGAGGGTTTTGAACTCTCAGTTCTATTCCATTTACTTGTCTGTCCTGATAGCACTATTATCTGAGTATTTGTCATATTACCTCATTTCATTTTCCCCCTCTATATTTTTATATTGTAATTCACAGTATTATGATTATGTTTCCTCCGCTGCCTGTGAGATCTTGGAGGGCAGGATTTATTTTTTTCTTATCTTACTCCTGGTAGTGAGCACAGGGACTCACRCAAGATAAGTTTAACAAACTACTGAGCAAACTCTTCCCTATTTTCCTGCTGGAGTCCTGGGAAGGGAAGGAGGCCRGAGGCTGCTGGAACTCATGGTTGAAAGTCAGTTTTAGCAGATGACAAATAACCCACACTGAGGATTGTGGGAGAAACATGGACACACCTGCAAGTGGTTAGTATTTACAGCTTGTCCCTCAGTTGCTAGGAAGTGCAGGCAGCCAGGTTTGGAATTGCCTGGTCTTTCCCTGCATCTGGGGACTTTGACATGCCTTTCATAAGATTACCAGGTGTCCAGCACACTCTTTCCCTCTGTTCTTTTTTCGGGGGGGTGGGTGGGAAGGGGGTGGTGATACCAAGGGCACCTGACCACTGAGCCACATCCCCAGYCCTATTTTGTTTTTAATTTAGAGACAGGGTCTCACTGAGTTGCTTCATGCCTCACTTTTGCTGAGGATGGCTTTGAATTTGGGATYCTCTTGCCTCAGCCTCCTGCACCGCCATGCCTGGCTCCCTCTATTCTTACTCTTCACTACTGTGCTGTGTTTTTGCCCTCCTCCAGAGTTCTCTCTAAGCTGACCATGCTCCTAGCCTATAGAGGCTACATGACAAGATCAGTTCCTGAGGCACTGTCCTGTGTGTGGGGAGCCTGAGCTGCTGCTTCATAGCTGCTCCTGTGTATCTGTCTGGGAAACAATGCCAGATGCTCTGTTGGGTTTGGGGGATAGAGACATTTGTGTCTGCATGAGTACATTAGACAAAACAAGGACAGTCAAGTGGATTTCCTGCCTGTCAGTGATGTCAGGAGCAGTGGCTTTGCCTCAAATTATTCAGCATATAAAATAGGATTCGAAAGGCTTTTCTCCATTTCAATCTTTTTCTCAGAAACTTTTTGCTTTTTAGTATAGAGCATGTCTTCACAATTAAAGAATAATAACAACAAYATACAAGGTATAAGAAGACTATGTGGCGAGAAATAGTACACTAAATGAATCCAGCACCTGACGAGTCACATTGTCCCGCTTTTGAAGCAACTTGTTGATTCCAGATGCTGCATCTTCTAACAGTGGAACTGCCCCACTTTCCAGAGTCAGGTAGCTTTGCCTCAGCTCATTCAGTACTTTGGATTTAATTGCAAGTTGATTTTCTATATCCTGGAAGGGCAAGAGGAGAAGGTTTGCAATGCACAATACACAAAAGAGTGAAATGTAAGAGGAGTTAAATCTTATCAAGTTAAAAAAAAAAAAAGCCAGTGGAGTATATAATCACACGACATTACATCAAAGAAGTTTTAATCACAGTACACTCAATTCAATTTTATATTCCATGGTTCTGCACGTAGAAGAGTCTAGGCAATAAGTCCTTATCCTAGAAAGAACCTAGAAAAGCAGGTCCTCGCTGCACACCTGCCCTTGGCTGACTTTTTGGCTGGGCCAATGTCATCAGCCCCCTAGTCCATTCCCCTTTCTCATCTGGATGAGCGATTCTCCATGCTGTGCACATCTGAGAGAGCAGGTGACATCACAGGCAGGAACGTGCTTTCCAATCACAAAGCATYGTGTAAGTGAAGGTCATAGAATTTACTGGTAGTTCAGTCAGTAATAGCTTTACTATCTACTTATACCTTTTAGTCTATTAATTCACTCATAACRGCACCCCTGACCTTGTCCACTATTTTATTTTATTTTTATTTTTTATTTTTTTTGTGTGTGTGTGTGTGCACGCACGCTGCAGACTGAACYCAGAGCCTTGTGTAGGCTAAGCACGTTCTCTACCACTGAGCTCCACCCCGCCCCTTGGTCTACTCTTTACAAACATAATTCCAGAAACCATCAGGAGCCCTCTGCTACAAAGGAGATCATGGACCCAGCAGTCTGAAAACAGCTAAAGGGGGCCAGCAGCGAGATTGCCACTCTTCCCAGAGGAAGGATGGATAGAGGTGCTTATACACCCCTCTCAGGACTGGGGTTAAAGACCAATTTGGAAAAAGTTTAAACTTTTAATTTATTATTATTAGAGAATTACAAACTTGCTATAGAACATTAGGAAAATACAAAAGTCCTTTGGYATTCATAGCTCTTATTCTGAGTTCCTTTCAAGTCTTCAAATGTACAAATCTGGGATGTACATGGGCTCACTTTCTTCAGCATTGTCCTGGATTTCCACCCAGGTATGTGTGATTTGAATGCATGGCCTCCATTTAGTGATCCTTTGTTCAACTTTTCTCTCTTGAAGACTGTTTTTAGCAAGAAATAGGGCTTTATAAAATCTTAATCCTTCAAAAGACTCACTGGGTGGGTCCATAAGGAAAGAGGAACCTGAGCTCCTGGCAGGCATACGGGTGCTGGGCAGGCATGCTGTGTTTGTACCCTGGTGAGGGATTAGTACCCTGGACTCGTCTCACAGTGTGGTACTGAAATTCAGCCCACACAAAGCTGCCACCTGCGTAAGCCTTCAGCTTATTGCACAAACTTTTTATTTTTATTTTTTTTAGGACCARGGATTAAACTCAGGGGTGGTCAAACACCAAGCCACATCCCCAGGCCATTTTTTATTTGGAGACAGGGCAACAGCCTTTCTACCAGCGCAGCCCTGAGAGGGACTAGTACCATGGGAGCATACTTCCGGTCATTCTGTTAAGGGACTAGTTGTGAAAGCACCCAACAAACCAAGYGGCTTCTCTGAAACAGCTTTGCCAGTGAGACTCACTGTGCCAGTACCTCTAGCTCTGCCAGCCTCTCTATCACCAAGCATCCTCTATCACCAACGTGGAGCTGACTTCTTTCCTAGCACAGGGATAGCTTGAAACATTTTTAAAATACCAACTTGCCCTCCTCCTTAAAAGCTCAACTAACTAAAGATTTTGTAAAAAACACTTACATTTGCTATTAAGTTGTCATATTTCCTCCATATCATAAGTTAATGAAGAGGAGGACTATTGAGTAGAAACAGAGGGAAAAAACACAGAGACACACAAGAACACCAAAAAGGTAGTATAAATAATAACTGTGGTAACAATAGCACATGGAGACACACACACACACACACACACACACACACACACGAAGCCGTTCTTGTTTGTTTTTCTCCTCAGAACAATCTGGATTTAGCTGAGTGATTCTATAGTCTGACCTTGCAACACAGAGGCCTACCAGGACTTTTCAAGTTTGCTAGTTCCCTGCTCTACTGGTAAATAAATCCATTTTACTTTAAGTCCTAACTTGCTACACTCAAAATAGGGTGGCTTCAAGATATCTGTTGATAATCATGGAGATTCACTAGAATTTACAAGTCCAGCCGTGCTTGTATCCATTCCTGGAGAATTGGTGTTAAATATTTTTTAAATATCTAAATTCCTTTGAAATGATCATGAATGAACTTCTGTGAGCGGTGGGTACTTATGGTACAGCAGCATCAAACTTGAGAGATTAATAATCGTATCTCAGACCGCCTCRTTCTAACCAACTCCGCAGTTTTCCTTGCTAATATAATATGCCAAACTCGGCCTCTTCCTATTCATCTATAACTATTAGGAGCCCTTCAGAATGTTTCAAGCCAACACTAACTTAAGTCTTAACACTTCATAAACACCATCCTAAGGTTTCTAGAGTAAAGCCACTTTAGCAACAAGCTTCCTGAACTGAAAGATTCTATCCTGGGATCAGTCATGAAATTATTATCATTTTATTTCCTATAATCAATGAATAGTGAAGAAAAGCAAAAATGACTTTTGCATGAAGCACACTTTTAGGTCTACTAATACAYGGGCTCAAGCAACTCCTAAGCACCCATGGGTTTCCCAGGCAGTGACAGGCTTAACCGCATACTAAATATCAAGCCTGCCTGTGAAATCCCAGTCTAGTCGAGGACAGACAAGTAGACAGATGAGTTCAGTACGGCCTCAGACACAGGGTGCTACCACAGGCCAGGGAAGCTGATTTCATTCACATACTTCCATCTCTACCTTGTTTTACAGCCTTTTATAAAGATGCACCTAAGAAAGCAAGGTAAGGAAATTAAAATAGGAAAACAGAAGCTAATAGAAAGTGTGGGGGCCTGTGGGAAGGTGTATAATTGGTGGGCCCAAGGTGAGGTCAGGGTGTTTTGGCTGAGTTCTGACAAAGACAGAGGAGAGCTTGTGTGTGGATGGTGGTAGGAGAGCCTTTGAGGGGTCGTCCAGAATCCTACAGTGAGCAGCAACATAGTGCAACAGCACTGGGGCCCAAACTGCCCATAGTTCAATGCCACATTCAGGTGGGGACTGACAATAGATACTGCTGGCCAGGCACGTGTGCAAATTACATGTGAGGGAAACCATTTCTGATGCAACCCAATACAACCAGATATGCACACACCAGGTGGTCAGAGTGCATTTGAATTAGGAAACCCTCATTTCAGAGAGGGCCATCAGAGTGCTCTGAGTTTAACGTCTCAATCAACATGAGTCATTTTGCCAAGGAGCACAATGAATGTTAGAAATGCTTTTTACAGGTAAAATTAATGGGTTATCAAATAGCATGATGAATATTAGAAATGGGTTCTCACTGGTTATAATTATACATACCAAGGTAGGTGGATTGGCTAAACTACTGTGGACACAATTCTCACCCTTATTGGAACAGAACATAACTATACATAGCCTGTTCTCTTCGCCCTGGGTGACAATCCCTAGAATAAGTTCCTGTGTGGTTCTGTACCCAGCCTAACCTCCAAGGTTGCTGGATGCTTACCATTCCAATACTGGATTCTTGTTTCTGGAATGCTCACACGTATGTCCTTCTTGAGCAAGCCTGGGGCACCATAGGGCAGAGAGATTTGGGCTTCCTAGAACATTGTATGCACTGCCTTTGTTTCTTGCCAGTAAGTATTTCTACAAATGGTAGAATTTAGTCTGTGTTTTTCCAGTGCCAAGGATCAGACCCAGCACCAGTGTTCTGAGATTTACTTAATTACAACTTGGTGGTGAGGTTGCAGGGAGAACAGCTAAACTGAACACAAACTTGTTCAGAGGTTAGTGTTATCAAAACAAAACAAGAAGACTAAGAATTGCTGAAGGCTTGCTTACTGTGAGGTCTGTAGGGTGAGGGAAGGTCAGAGAGGGGCCAGAATGCCACCTGAAGCATTTGAACTTCATTCTATGGGCAACATGGAGTCAATGAAGGACTTTTCAGTGGGGGCATTGCTGTGGCCTTTTGCATTTCAGAAATATCGCTCCACCTTGGTGGGAAGAATGAATCAGAGAGAAACAGAAGAGGTAGCTGTGGTAGGACAGGCCTGTAACAAGAGGAGTCTGGACTAGACCAGTCTGGACAGATGTGGACCGACTAGATAGTAGGGGTAAACTGGGAGGACCTAAAGAGTTACTGGAGGTAGAGGCAAGGATGAGAGCTGCTGCTGGGCTTCTGGAAAGGATGGCCAGCAATAGGCTGAGGAACAGAAGCGTCCCATGAAGGAAAGGTGTGGAATCCAAGATGGCTACAAGAAGACTGATGTGGAGATGGAGGGTAGAGGTTGAGAACAGGATTAAGAGAATTTGGAGGGCTGGGGCTGTAGCTCAGTGGGAGAGTGCCCGCCTCACATATGTGAGGCACTGGGTTTGATCCTCAGCACCACATAAAAATAAAGATATTGTGTCCAACTACAATTAAAAAAAATTAAAAAAATAAGATAATTTGGAAAGACCTCCTCAGGTATTCCCTTCCCTCATTTTACATACAGTACTATTCTGTAACCTTCTCAGATTTGGGATCTGACCCAACTCTCCAGCTCCATAGTGACAAATGCAATACTTTCACATAGTAGGTACAGAAGCAGCATAGTGTGTGCCATCCCCAGCCATGGCAACAGTGGAAATGGTGAGTGTCCCAATAGGGTGGTGCTAAAGGAGGATGAGTCCACCCTGGGGAGAGGGTCCCTCAAGGACTATGTGACTTGGCAGACAGACAAAACCCTCACACCCAAATGTGACTCAGACACTGGTTCCAAGGACAAGTAGTCCTTTTAAGACACAAGACACAATAGGTGGAAGAAAATTTTCTTCTGATGAAACACAGAATAAAATACTAAGAATAATAGAAAATTCAGAGTCATTTTGCTAATGTTGGACCAAATAAAAAAATCACAAAAACTGAAAAGGGGGCACCTAAATCAAAATTCCCTGTCAATATATGCTCCCCCCAAGAGTAATATTGCAACCTCTTGGAAGTAATAATAACCATGAAAATACCTTCTTCTGATTATGTAAAAATGGTACTTGGCCATTATGTAAAACCTATAACTAATTATCTAGTTTATGTAAGAAAGTAAGTTATGCCATACACACAATGGCAGTCCCACATAGCCCAGGCCTGTGGGGTCTAACCTTTCCGGGTTTGCAGAARGACACTCTGTGTTCCTAAGCACAAGCTGTACAACAGAATCTCCTAACATGCCTCTCTCAGAAAGCTACCTGTCACTAAGCAACACCCAACTGTAAACACAGGGGAGCTTGCAGGAGTGTCCAGAAACTACAGCACTATCCTTCACGGCCAGGCTTAGGACCCTGCAGCCCAACCCTGCCATGTGGAGGGTGCTCTGCCCCTCCTTACCTGACAGTCCAGGAGCACCTTCTCGATGGAGATCACACTTTCCGGTTTTTGTAAAGTTTTCAGCTTCTCTTCTTGTGCTTCCAACCAGTTTTTCAAAATCTGCATTTTGTTTTCATTCTCAGTGATGCTTTCCAAAAATTGTTCTAAATGTTGTATCTATAAATGATAAATAAAATTATTATGAAGGGCTGGAGTTGTAGCTCAGTGGTAGAGCACTTGCCTCGTATCCATGAGGCACTGGGTTTGATCCTCAGTACCACATAAAAATAAATAAAGATATTATGTCCATCTACAACTAAAAAAAAAAAAAATATATATATATATATATATAAAATTAAAATTATTATGAAAACAATCTTATTTTAAGTCCCATGCTTAAAATGTATATGGCATGATATTTTATTTTAATTTTTAAAATTGATTTTATTATTATTATTTAATACACGACAACAATGGAATGCATTACAATCCTTATTATGGTATGATATTTTAAAAGGATTTTTTTTCTTCTCAAATTTCTAATATTTCACATATTAAGATGTATAAATAATTTTGGGATAAAGATTCATCAGTCAGGAAATTGGATTTAAATTCCTCTTTTAGAAATTTCATATTTAAAGTAAAAGTTAATCTGCTGAGATAACTGGCTGTTTCAGAGTTTCATAACAACTATACAAAATAACATTAGATTGCTAACATTCAATATTTTCTCTTTGCATTCTCTATAAATATACAAACTGTTTCTGGCAATTTTCTTATTCTGGAGTCTCTTAGAGTTGTTTAAAAATTTCTACCAATATCAACAATCTCACAATTCAACAATGTGATTAAAAAATCAGTTTTTATTTTACTAAAAATATTTATTGGTGCATTATAATTATACCTAMTAGTCGGGTTTGTTGTTACAAACATATAACAACAAATAGATAGAATAATATAACTTGCACATAGTAGAACAATATAACTTAGTCCCCAGAACCTTCTCTTTCAATAATTATTTTCTGTTTTGTTTTATGGTACTTGGGATTGAACCTAAGGGGACTCTCCATTGAGCTACATCCCCAGCTCTTTTTATTTTTATTTTTTTTTAAATTTTGAGACAGGGTCTTATTAAATTGCTGTTTAAATTTTGGCTGGCTTCAAATTTTCGATCCTCTTGCCTCAGCCTCCCAAGTACCTGGGATTACACGCATGTGCCACTGTGCCTGGCAATAATTAGTTTTGAATTTTGTAATTCTTCTCATTTCTAATACTCACAATTTTTGTTGCTGTTGTTGGTATGGGGATTGAATCCAGGCCAGATCTACCACAGAACTATACTCCCAGCCCTTTTTATTTTTGAGACAAGGTCTCACTAAGTTGCTGAGGCTGGCCTCAAATTTGGGATCCTCCTGCCTCAGACTCCCAAGATGCTGGGATTATAGGCATGTGCTGCTGCACCCAGCTTAATATTCACATTTTTAAAATTAGCTTTTAATCATAGTATATATGAAGTTTCATATTACTTTTCCTATATGTTTGAAGGCCTTGCTGAGTTATGACATATGCTAATATTACTTTTAAAAAGCTGCTCAGTATTTTATCAAATGGACATAGTATCTTTTGATTAATTATTCCCCTAGAGTTTGAAATTAAGGCATTCTGCATTTTTGCAAGTATAAATAATGTTGAGCACTTCATGCAGACTTTTTTTTTTTTTTAAATACCTACTTTAAATAGATAAGAGCTGGATTGCTGGGTTAAGAGAAAAGATGGTTTTTAAAATTTCCCAATGCTTTCCAAAAACGAATGGAGCCATTACAGTATCAGCAACATATGAATGTTCACTTTGGGCTTATATTCTTGTTTTATTAACATTTCCTAAGTTGGGCAAGGTGGCACACACCTATAGTTCCAGCTACTCAGGAGGCTGAGGCAGGAGGATTGCAAGTTTAAGGCCAGCCTTGGCAAATTAGCAAGAACCTGTCTCAATGTAAAAAACAAAAGGGCAGGGGCTGTACCTCAGTGTTCAAGTGCTCCTGGGTTCAATTCTCAGCACCAAAACAAAAAAACAAAACAAATTTTCTAATTTAATAAGTGTACGCTACATCATTTAGTTTAAATATCTGATAATCAAAGTTGACATATTTCAGCGGCACCTGAATTAATAGGTGGGAGCTTGGTTCCTATTTTGTGAAATGTCTGCTCATGTTCTATGTCCATTCATGTATTTGAATCTTAATTGCATAAATCTATTTGTATGCATTCTCTATACAAAAAAGAGGGCACACACACTTTATACCATATATTTTTAGTGTATATGTACACTATGTATATATACTAAATATATGTATACTATATATATACTATATATAAATATATACACATACTATACATATGTATATATGTATATATATAATATTTTTCAGGAATAAGTTTTTTTCATCTTTTCAAGAATCATGAAGTAAAAAGCCTACCAAAAAGCCACAACAATTTTTTCCTTTTCATAATCTTTTCAAGGCTGAAATAGCTTTAAGTCCCTTTTGAACATCTGCTTTCACAGAAAATGTCAAATTCTCTGACCTTTTAGTAGCCTGACATAATATTGACACCTTTTAAAACAAAAGTTCTCCTCTTTACTGCCTAACTCAATTTCCCACTAAGAAATCTCAACAGGAATATAAGAATTATTTTCATATTCCATTACATGTACCCATAGAGAATGCTAAAGCCTAGGGTCTATAAAGAGGCTATGATTATTAGGTTCAACTGTAAATCAACCATCTGGATGCCTTTTTTTGGGAGAGGTGACTGGGGGTGAACCCAGGGACACTTAACCCTTGAGCCATATCCCCAGTCCTTTTTATTTTTTATTTTGAGGCACTAAGTTGCTTAGGGCCTCACTAAATTACTGAGATTGGCTTTGAACTTGAGATCCTCCTGCCTCAGCCTCCTGAGTCGCTGTGATTACAGGATAGGCCACTGTGCTGGCCTGAATATCTTTTTTAATTTTTTGGAACATGGTGTTTTACAAAAGCCAAAACATGCCTCCAACCGTGACCCTGGAGCATACCTTTTTATTCAGGGTTCCATGCACTCGGTGCCATTGGCGGTTCATCTCCCCCAGGTGCTCTGCAAACTCTGTCCTTTCATAGCGCTTGCTTTCTACATCACAGGTGCTTAACTGAAGCAATGACTGGTTAACAAAGTCAACGATCCACTGTTTATAGTCCATTTCCATTCTGAACTCCTAAAACACACAAAGAAGTGAAATTAAACACACTAAGTCCGAATGAAGTCCATTATATGAACTGGATTTCCCCTTGGCTGTACTCTAGGGGGCGCCAAGCTCCCACCCATTAATTCAGGGTGCGGCTGTCAGGAGTTACCTTYTACCTTCCCCAAGTCTTATCAGGAGGCTGCTTTATTTGAGTAGGGACTCTTCTTGGGGATTACATATTCCTGGGAACAGAGAGACTCACTGCTTCAGACTGACGGGAAAGTCCAAGGGAGCACCATATATGGTAGCTACTGTCATCAGAATGTGTATCAAGTCCCTGGAATCTTGTGAGAGAATATCAGAGAGCTATACTGGATCCTGAGTTTCCCTGAGGGCTCATGGAGACAATAGGCTGGAAACAGAAGTTAAAGCTTTCCCAGAAAACCCAGAACACCTTTAAGGAATTTAGGCTGCTTCTTTGTTCCTTGGGCGACAGTCTGTGCCACCTAGGGTGGCTTGGATGACTTCACATTCTATAGCAGTCCTAAAAGGCCAACCAGGTTCCTGTCAAGCCTGCCATTTGTTGGGTTTTACCTGGGAAGGTTCTAACACATCCTATGGAGACAATCCAGGGGGGTCATCATGTGGCATGGGCTAGGTTACTGCAGCCTGAGTAGCCCTTTTATATAGACTCTGCTACCCACTGAGGTTAGGAAGTGTTGGTATGTAAAAACATTTTCTGTTAATATTATACTTGGTGATCAAGCTATTCATCTCCTGCCTATCAGAGACCAGCTCCAGCAACTTGCAAGGTCTTTGAAAGTAACAGCCAGCCTTGTCATTCATCTTTGCATTCCCAGTGATTAGCACACACTGCCTGGCACTTCTTTTTTTATGGGTATGAGAGAAAAATTTAATTGCTGTTGCAAAAAAACATCTGTATGAAGTAGAAACTGGTTTCAATAACATTAGTAGASAATATGTTCTAGAAAGTAGTGGAGGTAACTGGATGTAAAATTCTGGCAGTAATTTAATAGAACAGGCTGAGGCCAAAAGCCTTGTCCGTGGGGAATTTGGGATGATAACCGCAGGAATGGTACACTGTGCATAAAGCAAATTGGATTGTTTTGACAAGTGTTGTGAAGTTTCATATAGTAAAAGGTTTCTCCTACATGCACTTCAGTTTCACAGCAAGAATGGCTCTGAACACCCCAACACAGAGGAGAGCATTCATGCAAGATATCTAACTCCTGATACAAAGCATACACTTTAATATGATCATTACATCTAGGGCCCTGTGCCCTAAATGGTGGTGGTTATGGACAGCATGGCCCTGGTAAGGACATCTAGAAAGCAGCTATCACCTTCTATCTGTGTTCTCTTTTTAATTTTTTTTTTCCTTCATTTTTCTTAATTCTGCTGTTGTCGCAAGCTTCTTAGCAAAACTGGTAAAAACAAAACTGTAATCATTGAACACAGCACTCTTGCAATCAAGACTTTCAAACCTTCAGTCTTCTGGGGTGAAGAAAGCACAGTACGAAATTCAGAACTCTGATTAACAAACAAGGTGGTCACAGTGTTTTCCTGGCTTCAAGACTTCCACAACTTTCCCAAGAGGTCATCATAAGAGGGCTGACTTAAGCTTGTTTCAAATTTAACATAAGAAACTACTGGTTCTGGAGTGATGGGAACAGTCCCATAAGTTCCATCTGATTTCATTCCATTCATTGAATACCCACCAGGATTGAACAGTGTGGCATTGATGACAGAACCTGGAATCAATCAGGTCACAAATTCTACTCTCCTGAGTGACATTCTTTGCAGTAACATAATCTTTCGTGTGGAACTGGTCCATAACTGCTGGGTCAAGCTCACTCATCAAAATTTCTATCTGACTATTAGACTATTACCCGACTCTCTGGGAAACCCAGAGTACACAAGTACCAAATGGTCAGAATTCATAACATCCCATACACTATGTGGCTCCATTTGGAAAAACTGCATTAAGAAGCTCTATTTCTTCCTGGAAATTCTGGTTTGGGTATCATTGGTGAGAAGACTTCATGAAGCTTTGAAATGAGTCAAATCTACTGTAATCCCTAGAAAGCTTCAACAGGGGAACCAGCGCTTTCAGTAAAAGGGTGGCACCATGTCTTCAAATGAACCCTCAATTGGAGACAAACACGCTACTCTCACTAAGTACACGAGCTTCCTGCTTGCCAGTTTTTATCACGTTTATGACTGAACATTGCACATCCTTCAAAAGTACATCACACTCAGATCTTGGGAGAGTGTGAAGATCCCAAGACCCTTGGCTTGCATTGGGCTGCTGCTGGGAGCACCAAACCTCTAGCAGCTTCTCGGGCCCTTGGAAAAAGTATGTAGAGATGGCAAACAACACACACCCACAGAAAATCAACTAAATTTAATCTCTTCTCTGGCCGCTGGGGATTGTTCCAGCTGTTACTGAAGTTCAGGTTCCTTTTTTTTTT